CCCGCCCTGGAGCTACAGACTTCTCCCCTCAGTCSGCATGGCAGATATTAAACTATTAGGAGCCGAAGCAAGCCTTCCCCCACACTTGGTAAGGTCAGCGCTGGCTGGATCTCCAACATCTGGACGGCACGTTCAGCCAGCAATAATGCCGCCTTTGTTCCCTTGCCATATTCACTGCTCACTGGCCAGCTTTGAAGAAGCAGCGGGATCCTGGAGCAGAGCAGAGGCACTGCAAGCAGCACAGTGGGGCAACCAGAGGCATCTGGCCAATTTATACATGTTACTGTGGTTCGTCAAACATCATCTGGTGCCGACTTACTCTCTCGCATTTGAGCAAACTTAAAGCTTCGACACAAGCAGTGCCACACTGTCCATAATGAATGCAGCACAGACCACCAAATCACATACTTCTGAAGTCAAGTAAACCTCTTTGGGAACATAAAACCCAAAGTCTGAGTGCAACAGCTCCACAGGTGGATCCTGCAGCACTGTTTGTGCATTTGTAGGTCAGTGGTGCTGTGGAAAAAAAAAATCTTTAGGATCCACAGACTGGACTAACCCTGAACTATTTCATAGAAATGATGCATGGTGATTTTTAGGATAAAAGGAGTGTAACACATTTGCAGATGATGCTGTAAGAAATGGGAGAACCAGGGTTTAAAAAAAGAGCAAAAGCAACATATTTGGCCTGTTGAACAACACTTTAACATCCAACAAAAACACATGAAATAATTCTATTGCACTTAAATTGAAAATATTTTAAAAAGCATGATATTTTGAGATCAAACAGGATGACAGATGCAATGGGAGCTCTCAGTAGTTTTGTATGGAGGCTGGAGGAGACTAATGGCCTTAAAGAATAAAGAGAAAGAGGTTGTGGTTGGTTCCGAGCAGCAGAACTATCCCACCAAAATGTTTCCCGTTATTTCTGCTTCATCTTACAACAAGCTCAGCTGRTAAAATAAATAAATAAATAATACAAATTCATGATTTACCTTTATGGTTCGAGCAGGACCCTATAGTTCTCGCCTCTCAGGATGGAAGTTGCAGAAGAAAAACACAGGTAAGGAGCGTGGATTCCGCTAAAAAAAAACTGTGTCTTTCTTCTCGGTTTGCTCGATAAATCACTTCCAGCGGCGAACTGCGTCAAGACAAAACAACGCGTTTAGAAAAGATAGCAGGAGGCCACGAGCGGTTCCGACAAACAAGCTAGGTGACGTTTAGAGCCGCTGTCTGAAAGTTTGTGTTTGTCCTGACTGCGGTGTGAGCAGAAAGCTGCGGGGGGAAAAAAATGCCCCCGCTTCTCTCCTCTCCTCTCCTCGTCGCCTCCTCCTCCTCCCTCGGTTCGTCTACTCCTGCTGCTCCACCGCCTGCCTGGAACTGGGACACCGCAAGGCATTGTGGACTGTTTAAAGCTGCAACGCACGCGCTGATGGAGGAGGATGTCTTCAACTTTTTACATCCAGGCAGGACATCCAAACAATAATATTACCATAAGTTTTCTCCTGCTGAAATATCATCTCAATTAACTGTAGCCCGTCATCAGAGACGAAAGGGCGACAATGTTTTTATTTTATTTTATTTTATTAAACTTTGATAAATGTAGTCATCTAGGAAGYCAACTAATTAATTTATGATGTAAATCATGTCAACTTTAGTCTACACACAAACATGTCAGCATGACAGTCAAATGTACATTGAGCTAAAGTGTGAGCAGATAAGAGTCCATCCCAACTCATATACTGAGCCAGTGTTTCCCAAAGTTGGGGTCGGGACCCAAAGTGGGGTCCCAAAACATCAAGGTGGGGTCCTGAAAAGATTTTCTGAATTAATTACATTTTTGCCTTAGTTGTTACAAAGGAGTGAGGTTAGTGTATTTAAAATGGATAAATTTAGTATAAAAATATTGTTACTATGCCCATATTTAGTTGACCTGATACAAATGTTTATCATATAAAAATAGCTGGGGGCACAGGTCTCTGCTACTGTTATTTTGTGGGTCAAAAGCTGAAAATTTTGGGAACCACTGCACTTTAGTTCCCAAAGTTGTCTTGGAACCCAATCATGGGTCATGAAGCACCTTGGATAATCTCCAGAAATCAGTTTAAAGGGTAATAAAATAATTGCTAATGTAATAGTTTCCTTATAATTATTAGAAAAACACAAAATAAGTAAAATAAGTATTTATATTTGTGTACAAGCTGTTTAATTGTCAAAAAGCGTGTGTTTTTAGGATTATTAATGAAGTTTGTGTACTCAGACCAGTAATATTTGGGGTCACAAGTTTTTGCCATGGATATTTTATGGGTCAGAAGATAAAAAGTTTGGGAACCACTGGTCTAAACATCTTATGTTTCATCTGAGTCTTCTGTCATTTCAGCATCTGGCAATGTTATATGATGAGGACATCTCACTATCATAATGTAAAAAACAAATAAAACTAACAGGCCTATACCAGGACTATTCAACTAAATTGCTCCAGGGGCCACAGTTACTGCAGGTCAACAGCTCAGGGGCCAAACATCCAGCAGTTAATGTTATTATGTAAATAGACTAAGTATTACAAAAATCTATTACATTTGAAATAATTTATTTTTGCTATATTTAATCATAAATAGGCCTGTCACAATAAACAATAAACCTATTAATTGTATGGTAAATTAAATTGAGGAAGATAAACTTAACAATTTTTATTTTCTTGCCTTTTTGTTTTCTTTGTTTCTCCCTCTTTTCTGCTTCTTAGCATAGAGAGGCATGAACTCTGGTGTCAGGTATTTGGCAGGTGCATGGTCTCCTAACCTCTGTAACATGAAAGCCTGTGAACAGGCGTTTAGCCAGAGGAGTGTCTTCAGTTTTCTGACACCTTCATACAGCTGGCAACGCTTTGGGATTGCAGACAGTTGTTTTTTCTTTTTACATCATGTAAATTTTTATGTAAACTGGGGTTTTTATATCATTATATTAGTTTTGAACTGGTCTCCAACAATATTATTGTTTATCGCAATAATTTCTGAGACAATTTATCGTCCGGTAAAATTTGTTATCATGACAGGCCTAATCATGAATACAACATACAGAACCCTATAAAAGTAGTGATAATTAAACAATATCAAAAACAAAAATAACACATTAGGCCTCCTGTTAAACAATATTATTTTGACATCTCTGACTTGCCAAATTTTTAAACCAATTTTATTTTCACTGTCATAGTTTTATCTTCAACTGCTTGTAATTTTAACTGTCTTGAGTGTGAATAGAAGTGTTTTTACCAGCTTCTAGCCAAGATTCTGACATTTCTGTAGACACCACATGTCTATGTTTAACTAAAAGAATTCATAGTATTTAAAGTAGAAAACCTGGGGTTTGGGCTTAAGAGATGAATGAACCAATTGGCGGACTGAACTTTGGTCACTCGCGGGCCTGATGTGGCCCACAGCCTGCCAGTTGAATAGCCCTGGCCTACACTATGACTGCATAAAAGTCCATAAAAAACAGGTATGAAAAAAACAAAACAATAAAACAATAGCTGAATGTCAACCGTTAGAAATAGCTATGAACTTACTATTTATATTATATTATAACTTACTTATTTGAGAATGTGGTGTTCAATTTTACACATTTGCATAACTGTAAAAAGGTAAACAGGGACGTGACGTTCACAAATGATCTGAATCTTTTGAATAACTTTTAAAAACGAATGATGATAACCAGGTCACAGGCACTAGAGAGCCCGTGATTTGCTGAAGTTTATTTATGCAGACATTTGTGTCAGTGTGTGAATGTGCGTGTGCATGGGTGAATGTCTGTAGTGTGAAGCGCTTTGAGTGTCCTGGATGGATGGTAAGGCGCTATATAAGTACAGTCCATTTACCATTTACCATTTTGTGCACCTCTTTTGCCTTCCACTGAGACAAAGAAGAATACATGCACTTAGGGGGCTGCACGCTTGGCCTTACGTCATATACCACAACGTATGGCTTAAGTTACAGCATGTGGCAGCTTGTGATATAGACCATAAGTACTGCCATAGACTGTAGACTACTAGTTCACTCGTGAACTATTAGTTCAAAAATTGAACTAATGGTTTTCCAAGTTCCGGATCCTTAGCAAAAATATCTCATGAAACACTGGTAAAACTTTCAGAAAGCAATCACTGAATGTAGACTARATTACAACTAGAGGTGCACTGATTACAGTTTTCTGGCTGATCACCAATCTCTAAAATCTGACCTGCRGATTCCGATTTTGACCGATACCGATTTTTTAAATGCGCACCTTCAATGTTCCTATCTTATTTCACTGAAAAACACTGAACAACATCCTTGAAACAATACAAAATTGTTTTAGCTTTCGACATTATAGTGCTCACAGCAGAGCAAAAGGGGACTGGTTGATTTTCAGACCTTTGTGGAAGTATTGTCCGATCTCCAAAATAAATAAATAAATAAATTGTAAGAAGTTTAAAACTAGGTAACTCTTTTTGTTTTGCTTTCAAAGTTATCCTAAAAGAATCCTCACTACTCAGTCACTCACTTTTTGAAACATTAAAAAATATTCATGTTCTCCTCAACACAACTGATAAATTTGCTTTTTCTAAAGCCATCTTTTTATAGCCATGAATTATGATTCCAGATTCTGTCACCTTCATGTTGAACTGTTTAAGCAGCAAGAAATAAACTGACAGTTTGTTTCACAAAGAGAAATTATAGTGAAAATACACAGAAGAAAAAATATAAAGTTTAAACTATCAAATAATTCAACAGTAATCTATGGAGGTCCAACACATGACAACATTAAAAAACATTAGGCAACAGTGTTTTTTCCACTGTGCTGCCATGCTGCTCTGTTTGCTGAAAGTTTCTATATTTCCTAAGTCTTTATCATGTGTGTGTGTGTCTGTGTTGAACATCAAAATGTGCCTCAAATCAAGCATCCAGGTTTTTAACCTTATCTTGGCAGTGCAGAATGCATGAATTTATTGTTCAAATATAATACATTACGTTTTCTGTGGACTCGTGACCCGTTCAGGGTGTGACCCGCCTCTTGCACAACGACAGCTGGAGACAGCTCCTCACGATCCAGAAAGAAGAAAATGAAGGAAATGCATGAATGAATAAACATTTTAAACAGTTTTTAAAATAATATTACAAAAATCATCATTTAAAAAGCATTTATGTAAGAAAATGTCTAAAATAGGAACAAAAACTTAATAAACCCTCTCCAGTAATGTGTCACCCACGAATAATGTGTAATTCTTCAACATATCCCAGATAGCAAAATATGAGTGAATCAGCACTGAAATATGGTTAGACATGATACTGAATCCATGTTAAAATTAGACAAAAAGTGGTCGATGTCAACAACCTGAGGTTTTCAACCATAACTGATACTATATCAAAGTTGATTCAACATTGATTAGACGTTGGCATTTCAATCATTAGACTACAGTACAACCCTGAAACAACATTGATTCAATAACATCTTTTCAACATTGGCTAATCGTTAGAGTTGGATGATTGTTTGATGGTTGATCCACCATCAATCGTCGACCTTAACCAAAAATCCACTTTTTTTTTAACAATAATTCAACATTGAATTAACATCTTTTGCTATTTAGGATGAGTACAGATGAATAAGATTTAAATTACCATTCAGTGAAAACAAAAGAATCTTTCAWCTCAGTATAATATAAAAGATAAAATACAATTAAAACACTGATATTTTTATTGCATTAGACTGGACTGAGCTCTGTGCAGGATGTAGCTGAATAAAACCACATTTATTGAGCTGCAGATGAAAGATGTAAACAGAATCGTACTGCCCTCTTGTGACAGAAAATACTTTTTTTTTTTTGTGATAAAACCAAAACTGAAACTTTGATCCAATATTTTCTCCTCTCAGGCGTCAGCTGTGCAGAGAACTACGAGTGCTCTCAGACATTAAACTTGGTATTCTTGGTATTCCTTCATCAGAAGGCTCTTGTTTAATTGCAGCGCAGAAAGTGAAGCAATTATTTTAATAAGCATCATTTCTTTGTAACTCTGAAGACCTGCGCGACAGGAGCGAGGATTTTACTTCTCAAAACTGAAAAGCACAATGGCAGGTAATAACTTTAATGATGGCTCTTTGGATCAAAATGTTTCAGTGAGCTAGTTCAGTGACTCACTCTGCCTAAATGAAATAGTCATTGTTAATATATCAATTTCTCTTGCAATATGCTCACCATAAAATGTTATATTACTTACWATAAAAATGGCAACTTTGGGTATATCTATTAAAAATGTATGCTGCATTTTAAATTTTCAAATTTCATGTTAAATATTTTAATTGCTGTTATYTTTACTGACTATAAATTAACACATTTATCCGCATAATCTTGGGATCAATATTTCAGAAGCAGAGTTTAACATTTTTCTTACTCACTACCTAACCTTTGTATCCTWATATAKACTCATCAGKMTATGATTTGARGATGATAARGATGAAAGCKTTTCTTGTCATRGTTTGCACAARGAAATGACATTTATAAAACAGATCTCATTTGATTTTTTAAACATGCATTATCAACATATGGATAAGGAAACTATTAACAAGTTTTACATTTAAAATTGACATTTTTATTGAAAGACTCTCTGCTTTATAACCTACATAACAAAATGGCAATAAAAATTATAAAAAAATCATGAATGTTTATAAATAAACACAAACATAATACATGGTATAATTAGCAACATTTATATTATCTGATAATACATTAAAATGTTATAATTTTATTCTTGAGAAGCAATTTTTCTCACATTCACATATTTCTTACATTAACTTTTTTAAATCATATGTTTAATTTAGTATTTATAAAAAACTTTTGGGATTCTTTTTATCAAAGACTAAACTTGTATGTGTTCTTAGAAGTCATTTATTATGTTTAATTTATTCTCACATGGACCATAGATTAAAATGACAAAGTCATCATAGTCCTGACCTCATCTGTCAGTAAAATAAACAAACTCACAAACACTTTCTGGATTAAAATATATTTCACTCACAATTACTTTATTTTTTTTATTGAAAGCCTTGACTTTAACTGTAGATTGGACGTCTTGCTGCAAATCCTGGACGCGCGTTTTATGCGTTTGTGCTGCGCAGCCGCAGCCCCAGTGAAGACGCAGGAAAGCTGAGAAGGGATTGCCAAATCACGTCCCTGCCTGGGAATGACGCTCCTCCAGCACATTCCAGTTATATTTAGAACCTATATATACTGGAGTCGCCCCCTAGGCTTTGTTGACTCTGCAGCAAGCAAGCAGATAGTGTTGGAGGCCGTGAAGCCGACTTTATCTGTCGTAAAATATCAAACGTGAGGTGAATTAAATATAAGAAGACGTTCTGTTAGCTTCAGTTTGTGTTTAATAAACAGAAAGGCTGGTACTGTTGACGCAAAGGCGCATTGAAAAGAGAGAATATGAGCTGAAAATTAGGCAAAAAAAAAAACGTAAAGTAGTAATGAACATAAAGGAGCGTATAAGGGCTCATATCGCGACACTCACGGTTGAGTGATCTGACCCGGACCGGTTGAAATCCCCTGCTAGGCCTTCTGGGTAAAGTTCGCCCTGTATCCGCCCATCGGATCAGCAGAGGCCACACTGAGCAGCGGCGGCGGCAGAAGCAGCAGCAGCAACTAGGCCGGGGGGACGCTGGATCCGATGGAAAGTTCAATCGATTAATTTCTTCACTTTGTTTCCCCCCCTCCCATCCCTCCACCTTCCTTCCCGAAACGACCTTATAGACCGACTTGAATGCGGGCATTTTGGCGAGCAGTAGGAAATGCAGAGATCGTGTGAAGCGAGAGGATCTGTTTGACTCTTTCTTCAGACGCGGAACTCCACTCGCTAAAAGGTAAAACAAACTCGACACTTTCATTCGTGGGGCCACTTTGTTCGTGTTTATTGTAAAAATTTTGTTTCCCCGCCACTGATYAATGTAAGTCACCGTGTCTGGTTTTAAAAGTTTGAACGTAACAGCTGAAGTATTTATTTTTTATTTTTAGAACAAACTACGCCCAGTTGTTAACCTACAGTCTGGCCCTGCATTGCAGACCTTTGCTAGCTTGTCGATTTGCGGCTTTCGTTTCTTTTTGAATGAGTGTTCGTGGCTGTGTTCAGGCACACGGTGCACACAATACAGCGTTATCGGCTTACATTTTTTTTTGTTAAACACAACAGGATAATGTGCAGGGGGGGGGCTGCTGTGAGTTTACTTTTCGCTTGCGGGGCGACCTCCAACAATGCTAGCTAGCTAACAGCAGAGCCGCCCGGTGTTCCGAGGCTTGCTCCCGACCATTCAGCGCTCAGGATTTAAATCAAATTCCTTTTCAACTTTCATTTTCAAGTCTYCCCTAGGTGTCCCCATCTGCTCGAACAATTGGCTTTCATTGAAAAGCCCTCACATACTGCAGGTAGCAAGCCCTTACAAAGTAGCATTTTGTTTATATGGCTGCTAATCAATCTCCATTCGGACTGCGCTGAGCTATTGAGTAATTTTCCAATGAAGTTAGTGATGTTTTCAATGAAAAGAAGTTGCACCTTTGTGCTGGTACGACTTTTTAGGAGTCAGCTTTCCACTTTAAATCCACAGCTGCACCTGTTTGAGACCAAGTGATGGTAAACCCCACTGATAATGCTAAAATGTTCATTTAAATCTCCCTCCCTGCTGCTCAAGACATGAGACATAACACAAAGAGGCTYCTTGTTCCTGAATGCATTCATCTGCATAGTCCTTTTGTTACATTTTTAAAATCATCTACAGATATTAAAGTTCATAAAACTGTGTGACAGACATGCATCCTTGCAATGGTTTGTTAGGTTTTCGTTTAGCTGAAAGAAAAATGTTACTTAAAAAAAACAAAAAACAAACACCCACTACAGCACATAGTTGTGTCTGTTTTTAAACATGAAATCAATATTTAGTGGCTTTGCAGTTGCAACTTCTGAAAAGGCTAGCTGCCTCTATTGATGGATGTTGATCCACAAAACAGCCAGACAGCAGAGCGCTTCCCAGCTGCTTGTCAATTTTGGAGATTTAATGTAATCTAATAGATTTATGCCTGCGGATAAATTCTGCTCCAGAGCCTGTACTATTTAAAAAAAAAAATGGACTCAAAGTGCTCATGTGTGTGTGCGAATAATTTCTAAATTTAGTCTGTAGTGTCTGTGTGGAAGGGTTTTTCCAATTTTCACTTGAAATTTTCCTTAATTGAGGTGCATTTTCTTTTATATTCAACTTTATATATTAATCAGATTGCATTTGTTATGTTTGTATGTTTTTTTTTCTTGTGCTTCTCGTTGATTACTAAAAAAAATCCTCAGCAGTGTGAAATCTATTTTCCAACGATTCAGCAGTATTTTTAATTGTCTGACTGCCAAGCCTGAGCACACATTTTCACGCTTTATCAGACAGAAATAACAACTAACTGGACCTGGAAACAGAAACCATGCTTGGAAATTCCTGGATGTTTTTGAAAATAATTCTGTGGGGAATGTATTAAAATGAAATCCTTATTAACTTGAATCTATAATTGCTGTTGCTGTTTTATTGGGGTTATGTTTATAAATAAATAAATAAATTGCCTGAAAAAAAAAACCACATTCTTTGCGTAAATTTAAATTTTTAGCTTTTTACTGTACTGCAATTTTTTAGGACAATTATTTGCATGATGTAGAAAAATGGATACATGCTTTTATGTCTTCCYCATTTTTAATGAAGGATTTATTGCTTTTTAAGTAATTTGTCATCTTTTAATGTTAATAAATGATGCAGTTTTGTTTTAATTTTGCTAAAACATTTTGTAACTGTTAGGTTTGCTTTTTGTTTCTTACCCTTCTTACCCTGTAAATTATCTCACAACATAACTTTAGATCTAACATCGGATTTTATGTGATGAACTAAATCCATTATTCTCAGTTTATAGTCACAAACATTATTTAACCACCACTATAAGATGCTGAAAAGGCTTTAAAATTCACCTCAAAAAGACTTGCAAACTATTTGAACTTGATTTCAGGAAAGATGTACGAAAACTGTAGAGAATAAAAATGTTTCAAGGTGAAAGCAGTTAATGAATCTTCTGTTTTGTGTGTTTCAGGTGAATCATGACAGAATATAAGCTGGTTGTGGTGGGAGCTGGTGGTGTCGGCAAGAGCGCACTTACTATTCAGCTCATCCAGAATCATTTTGTGGATGAATATGACCCGACGATRGAGGTAAAGAGAATTTGAGAGTTTAGACACATTCACTCTGCTTTACAACTGGCTCTGTTTTCTTATGTGTCAAGATATGGTATTAAAKATGTCTGTCCTTACCGAAGCCCTGTTTACGTGTAAACAATCTCTGGAAACGTTGAGCTTTTCTAATGTTGACTTAAAAAAATAGTTACACGTTTACACAGTTGTGCTGTGCTTGTTGAATCCACTGTAGCTTCCATGCCAGGTCTAGCACTCTAATTTTTGTCTTTCAATGGTGTGTGCACGCTCAGACATTTCAGCCTTGTGAATGAAAATGGTTAGATCTAAGAAAGGGAATACACAAATGTTTGTTTGGGCTGATGAAGGTGTAGTTTAGCTCCTACATATTGAATAGGGTGAGTAGCTCCCTGCTGTCCACTGTTACTGTTGTTCATCTACTCACGCAAGCGCAGAAAAAACATCGACTGCAGCCGCCTGATTTCACATAAATTGCTGTTTTCCTTGAAATGACGCCAACTGTTATCAAAAACCTCCACTGAGATCTGGGTTCAAAGAGCGTCAGTGTCCYAGAAAGCAACTATGGTTGTCATGCACTAACGGCCGAAACGCAACAGAAATACAACCGTTTTATTGTAAAAACGGTGTGTGAACCGGGCCAGATAAACTCTTGTAAGCTGGAGCTCACAACAGGCTCTGCTAGTTTTAAGTAAAAAAAAAAAAAAAAAGAGGCACCAAACAGGTTTATAAAGACTTTTCATGCCTGGCTACCTGCCCAGTTTCTCAGAGTGCCATTCCGTGGAGTGTGAACAGTCTCATCATGATTTCAATCAATTATTAAAACATGTTGGCAGGTTAGAGCTCTACCATAGATTACTTGGACACAAGATAGCATCTGAAGGTATGGCTGCTCGTTGGATGAGTTCATAATTATTTCTGTAGGATCCATTGAATGTAACCAGCAGTGCGATGAAGAACCAGGGTACTTTGACACTGACTGGAACCTCATTGTAATTTGAGCTTTGCCAGAAAATAGAGTGCCCCTCTGCAGCTGGAGAGGGGCAATAATATAAGTGGTGTCCTGTAGCGTCTTTGTAAGCAGGATTGTAATAATTAATACTGTCCTGTTAGAACAATGAAAAAACCTGTTCAGATTAAAAAAACACTTCWATCTAATGTGTAAAACTAATTTAAAGTTTAATAAACTATTATATTCTAAGTTGTGACTCTTAAAATTAATAATGGGATTTTTGACCTTTTCTCTCAGGCTTCTGATTATTATTGTTTGTTTGTTTTTCGTTGCAGGACTCCTACAGAAAGCAGGTGGTTATCGATGGGGAGACGTGTCTGCTGGACATCCTGGACACAGCAGGTCAGGAGGAGTACAGCGCCATGAGGGATCAGTACATGAGGACAGGAGAGGGGTTTCTCTGTGTCTTTGCCATCAACAACACCAAGTCCTTTGAGGACATTCACCACTATAGGTGAGTGAGGAGACCAGTCTGCAGATGTGGTGGGAATTTTCAAATCGCAGTTAAGTGATCCCAAAAAGTTTAAGARGACAGGTAAAGCTGCAGCTAGCGTCAAGAAAGTTATTTTTTTTAACCTGTTGAAGTTTTATTGAGTTTTACGCTCAAAACCAAAAGTCTGCTGTTGGGAAGGATCATCTGTTCTTCTTCCATCAAGGCTTCTTTGCTACTTTTCTGACAATTAAGTTTGTTGAATTCAGTTTTTACATGAAACAAAATGCTTCACATACACACTGCTCGTTGTGTGCCTCTGAAATATGTCAGTTTTTTAGGGTCTCTTGTAGGGCTGCTACGATTAATCGACAATTAATCGATTATTAAAATAATCGATGACTAATTTAATGATCGATTAATCGTTTTCTTTCTTTTTTCTTCTTTACTTTGTTATTCTCTCCAAACTGCCTTGACACCTTCCACTGCCACATCTGCCTTTCTGTCCTTGACACACATG